TACCATTTTTTTCAGTCCAGATCAAAAGCTAATTTACATCTAGAAGTAAGGCATACATAACCTTAGCTGGAATGTATTTCTAACGCAAAAAAATATTATACGTTCAAAAAGAAGACAAATCATTTTAAAACTTCAGAAACATTTTTAAGACCGAAAATCGTGACAGTAGCGGCCATATCAGAAGCGATAAAAAATAATGTCTAACATTTTCGAACAGGACTTAATTTAAATATTCTTTTATTGGCCCTCTCTTTTTTACAACAGGCCTTCTGTATAGTCGCGTTTCGCTCTGGGAGCCCGCGATAACTCACAGAGCGAACGCAGCAAATGACTTTTTAAGTGAAGGGTACAATGTTGCTTTTTTGGACAAAACGTTCATTTTGTCCTTCTCATGGTAATTAAGTTTGTGTTAATAATTAAATGATCCGGTTTTTGTAAACAAAATGGACTTTCTTTTGACGTTAATAGATAAACGAGATGAATTACCTGATTTTAGACTATTATCTTGGCTCATAGGTATGTATGTAGCACAAAGAAAATACTACTGTCAACTTTGAGACATGAAGTGGTTTCTCTAGCAGGAGTAGTTTCCTGTACTGGAAATTCACGCGTGGAATACACTTGGAGCGAGTGTAGAGCAAGCTAAATTATTTCACATGACTATTATTTGTATTGTAATGAGGAGATCCGTAGAAGAACGAAGGTTGCTGACATAGCCCGTAGAATTAGTGAACTGAAGTGGCAATGGGCCAGCCACATAGCACGAAGAGAGGACGGTCGATGGGGCAGAAAGATCCTGGAGTGGCGACCACGTACTGGCAAGCGCAGTGTGGGACGGCCACCTACTAGATGGACCGACGACCTAGTAAAAAGCGCTGGGTCTCGTTGGATGCAGGTGGCAATGGACTGGTCGCACTGGAAATCTATTGGAGAGGCCTATGTTCAGCAGTGGACGGCGATAGGCTGAAATGATGATGAATGATGATGATTATTTGTATAGCATATTATTCCATTACTGGTGGTAGGACGTTTTGTGAGTCCGCACGGGTAGGTACCACCACCTATTATTACTGCCGTGAAGCAGTAATGCATTTCGGTTTGAAGGGTGGGTCAGCCGTTGTATTGTAAAATTTGAGACCTAAGAATCCTATAAGATAAGAGACCCATCTCAAGATGGGTGGATTTACGTTGTGTATAACTCTCATTACATGTTTCTATCAGCAATCATTTCGTGTTTTAGAATATTTGCTTTAAACATCTAAGTATTTTCAGTCGCAACAACGCCTATCTACAACTACTACCTACCCTTGAGAAGTTCTAAGGTATCAAGTATAGTTACAACGGCTACCCCACCCTTCAAACCGAAACGCAATACTGCTTCACGGCAGAAATAGGCGGGGCGGTGGTACCTACCCGCGCGGACTCACAAGAGGTCCTGCCACCAGTAATTACGCAAATAATAATTTTGCGGGTTTCATTTTTATTACACGATGTCAATTCCTTCACCGTGGAAGTCAATCGTGAACATTTGTCGAGTACGTATTTCATTAGAAAAATTTGTACCCGCCTGAGATTCGAACACCGGTGCATCGCTCAACACGAATGCACCGGACGTCTTATCCCTTACTTAGGCCACGACGACTTCAAAACTTCAAACCTTCAAACTCTGATTTATTTGCAGCAAAAATATATGCGATCATAACACACGTAATCTACCCCATAAATCTTCCTCAACTCAATTAATTTTTCAACGATCTACGTCACAAACTGTTTGTCATTGAACACTTTAAAAAACAAATCCACAGACTCAAACCTACTTAGCGGGTGTTCACAATAAATCAAGAAAAAGATTGTTAGAAAATTTCAATTTTTTTTTCATTCAGAAAGCTATAAAAAGTTTCTTATATTGTCACGATCATTAGGGCTTCTTCACGTGTCATTATTTGGGAGAATTCAGGCCCGATATTTATGTTATCTATATATTAATACGTGAAGGAAAAACTTTGTATCCCTTTTTATGAAAATTGCGCGGACGGAGAAGTATGAAATTTTCCACACTTATAGAGAATATAGAGAAGGATTGCACAATGCTAATATTTTTTTAAGATAAGCATAAAAGATACAATAAATCAATAAAGAAAACATTACACACACTACCATGTATTTGACATAACACATACGTATAAATATACTCTTTGTAAAAATTGTCAATTGTGAAACTTTTGTTATTCTTTAAAGTCTGTGGTCAAATTGAGAATAAATTAATATTGTTTGTCTTTATTAATTTTGTCTTAAGTGTAGTCTTGGCGAAATCTGTGATTACAGAAGTATAATAAATAGTCTTTGACAATAGAACCAACAAGAATATTCAAACTTATAATTTCAAATTTCAATTAATTATAGTCGAATTTCGACTACTGCGGAGACCACTAGTCAAAATTAAATAGAAGTCGCCATCGTCAAAGATAAGACGTCCGATCTACTAGTAATGATGCGACTGTGTCAGTCTTAAAATCCAAAGGCAGGTATAAGGCAAGGAATACTGGTGGTAGGACCACTTGTGAGTCCGCGCGGATAGGTACCGCCGCCCTGCCTATTTCTGCCGTGAAGCAGTAATGCGTTTCGGTTTGAAAAGTGGGGCAGCCGTTGTAACTATACTGAGACTTTAGAACTTGTATCTCAAGGTGGGTGGCGCATTTACGTTGTAGATGTCTATGGGCTCCAGTAACCACTTAACACCAGATGGGCTGTGAGCTCGTCCACCCATCTAAGCAATAAAAAAAGTACTCTAAGGAAATATGTAGCTTCACAAATAACTCAATACGAACGACAATAATATAGGAATAGGATTGTGTAAGAAAAATCTAACCTGTAAAAGCTATACCGTACAGTCGAAATAGATCGCCAAAAATAATATGAATAATTTTGCATAATTACTAGTGGCTTGTAGGTAATCATGTATTTTGATTTGAAGAGAGTGTATTTGTTTTATAATAGTGCCGAGAGGCAATACCGTTTGATGCCATGCCACAAGGCAGGTCACAGATTTCAAATTGTCCTTAGGGATTTTTTATTACCTAGATGGCTGAACAGTGATAGCAGTTACGGGAGTCCATTGATATCAACAACACAAAGACACATGTTGAGAAATGAGTTATAAGTGGCAGTTTTGTACAACGGCTGCCCCACCTTTTAAACTGGACCACATTACTGTCTCGCGGCAGAAATAGGCAGGGTCTTTTACGAGCTCACTTGATGCGTTACCACCTATTTTTATCTTCGAACCTCATCTCGGAAGGTACACTCCAAAACCGGCCAGATAAGTTATAATAAGCCCTTCTTGTGCATCAGCCCTTATAGTACATGTGGGCGTCACGCCCCGTCTGATTTATACGCACAGTTTTCTGTGATTAATTTTAAATTAGCCGTTATCTCATACCAGTCCTTTGTAATTGGGGATGCTTCGTTGAGATTAATGCGTTTTTGACAAATATGTCTCCCTTCGTTTGAATTGTGAATTAATTCTTGTTCTACTGCATCGATGGGAATTTGTTTTTTTTTATATAATGCTCCAATTACATTTCTATAATGTTGAGTAGAAATGTACGTTGCCTAAAAAGTGAGATGCCTTGTGTATTTTTAGATATGCATTGTTTTTTTTGTATTTGAAGGCCTTTCACTCTGTTGTTCTATTATTGCATGTTGAGCACTCTTTCAGTGGGTCGCGTTTCCGATCCGGTGGTAGAATCTGCGAAGCACTGCTCTTGCTAGGGCCAGTGTTAGCAACACTCCGGTTTGAGACCCGAGAGCTTATCTATACGCTAGGGTAACGATGATACAGCCTCTCAAGGCTATGAGCATAGGTAGGGAAGGAAAAGAGCACTTTGGATTCAAAAAGGAAAGTCTTGTAGGTTATGGTAGTTTTGTTTTAATTTTATTCCGAAATTCTTGTTGTTTTTGGTTTATTTTTGTATTCCATGTGAAGTGTTATTTTTAATGTAATTTTGATGTAATATCTGAAGTAAAAGAAATAAATAAAAGTAAAATAAATAATTAAATTGCGCGCAATGATAAAAAAGATGACCGCATTATCTCAAACAATACCCAATGGAGCATGTAACACAAAGTACAGAAACTATTGCATTTTCGGAGATCAAACGATCTGTGAGATGTGTTTTATTGGCAATCCAGACGATGTTCTTCTTTATGGAGTTAAAACCGAAGCTATTACTGGCATCAGCAAATAATATTGTAATTACTGAAATTTTATTATTTTATTTAAATAATATTTACATTTTTTTCATTGACTCACAAATACTGCTATTTGATTTATTTAATCTAAACAAGATCAGTGAATTTAAAATTACATTAATACTTAATACTTCAAGTGTTTCCATATATATAATAAGCTTTATGATATTTTTATTAAGAATATTCGTTTATTTATCAAAATATTAAATATAGCGTAAAACGCGAGACAGTTGATTAAGTGATACTTTTAGGATAGTTGAACAATCGATATTTTTTACAGATCTTGTATTTAAAACACTATTTATTATTGATTTCGATAGCTGATGCAATTAAAACTGTTGTCCACTTAAATTTATTAACAGCTTACAGGTTCGAAATACCAAAATACAATAGATTTAGAAATTACTAAACTAAAAAAACTCTTCAACTGTCTCGAATTATTTGCATAGTTGTCTAATTGCAAGAAAGAGATGGAAGAAGGTTTGTGACGTCATTATCAAAAACATGGCGGACCCCCTCTTAAGTTATGACATTTTGGAACTAGTTTTGATATGCATTTCGTAGAATTTTGCTATTGCAAAATCTTTCACAAAATTAAAGATAGAGAGTCTATTGTTTGATATGCTTCAGTGGTTTAAGGCTCTTTTTATTGAATTAATGTCAGTAGTAAATTTGATTCAACAAAAAAAAAACCTCATATCGAGGTAATAACTAAAGATTTTCTTTGAATCATTTTCAAGAATTTAAATTTAATCATCAACACTGTCTATTCTTTGGGGACAGCAGTCCGGATACTGTTGGTTTTGGTCACCCATCCTGAAGTATCCTGGCTGGATATCCGACCGACAGCTGTAACAAAATACATACTAAAGTTAAATGGATTTAAAGCAGACCTCATATTAAATTTGCGATACCAACCATTATCCACATATTAATACGTGAAGCAAAAACTTTGTACCCCTTTTTACGAAAATTGCGCGGCCGGAGGAGTATGAAATTTCCCACACTTATATAGAGAATATAGAGAAGGAGTGCAGAATGTTAATTTTTTTTTTGTAAATTATCCATAAAAAATATATGAAATCAATAAAAAAGACATTACACACACTACCATGTATTTGACACATAGACGCATGCATACTATTTGTTTATTGTCTAACTTTTCTTATTGCTTATAGTCTGTGGTCAAATTGAGAATAGATTAAATATTGTTTATGTTTATTAATATTGGTCTTGGCGAAATCTGTGATTAGGAAAGCATAATAGTCTTTGACAATAGAATCATAATATTGTACAAACTTATAATTTCAATTAATTATAGTCGAATTTCGACTACCCGGGGACTTCTAGTTACACTTAATACGCTTTGAAAGACATTGAATTAAAAAGGCAAAGCTTTTCAAATAACTATATTCTAACTATCAAAGGAACGTAAGCACTCACGAAATCGACAAAAAAGTCACCCCAGCTTTTTGGAGCAGTCCGTGAATGTTAAGTTAGTAAAACATTGATAAAATACCCGAAATTAAAAGGGTCGTGTCTAGACATGAAGACCGAATTCCAATGTTTTTTAATATAAATCCACGTTCATACAAAGCTTATTATGCTTATAAACTTTAATATTGCCATCAGAGATTCTTACCTTAGCTTCTGATACAAAAAATACGGACTCATTTCTGAAGTGTGGTTTTTCTTGTATTTTTTTTTTATTTTTTTTATTTAGTATATCTTGTGAGTCCGCACGGGTAGGCGCCACCGCCCCGCCTATTTCTGCCGTGAAGCAGTAATGCGTTTCGATTTGAAGGGTGGGGCAACCACTGTAACTATACTGAGACCTTAGAACTTATATCTCAAGGTGGGTGACGCATATACGTTGTAGATGTCGATGGGCTCCAGTAACCACTTAACACCAGGTGGGCTGTGAGCTCATCCACCCATCTAAGCAATGAATAAAAAAAAGCCAAGCTGCTGCCTACCATTGTATTATTATAGTATTGTAAGATATTACGTATCTATTTATTTATAACTTTATATACTAGACAGTTTAAGGCGGACTCAATGCCATAGGCATGTCATATAATTATATCACATAAGTATTATAGTTTTTTATTAATAGATGCAGAGCCAGACTATTTAATGTAATAGTTGCAAACATGTCGTTTGTTGGATTATCGCGTTATTGAAATCGTCGTTGCCAGGGGCACAGTAAAGAATCTGACTAACCTACTCCAATATAGACTCTAGACGATATCGTTCACAAAAAAATATACATTAAGGCGGCCCATTTCCAAACTGTGACAAATGTTTGCAAGATACGTGATACTCAAAAAACGTTTCTCGAATCATCTTGTGAACTTAGCTTTAGATTTATTTATCGTGTACGCCGTCAAAGGAACTTTTTGAAGCAAAAAACAGTCTTCTTGTAATAAATAGTACAGACAAAAATATTATCTATCCCGGAGATATCTTTTGATATCTAAAATAATAATAAAAAAATCGGTAAAAAATATTAGAATTTGTGATTTGTCTGATGTTCTAAATGGATTATCCGTTGCTAAGAGCAACATTTTCATCTTTTTTATTGCCACTGTAGGCAGTGGCAACAAAGCTGGAGCATACCATCTACCAGTAAGTGTTAACCATTGCTTATGGACATCAGCATAGCCAAGCTACTGCCTACTGCAAAATGATTACCTTTTTTATTGCATTTTGTTGGGTGGAAAAGCCAACAGTTCAGTGTGTGGTGGTTACCAGAGATCTACGCTGAGCCATCAGAGATCAAACTATTATTTAAATACTGTATCGTATTGAATGGCTGTCTTAATCATTCGCCCCGGAAGGGACAGTTGCTTTGTGGCAGAAGTATGCTGGATGACGGTATCTATCTAAATGGGTTGGCAGTGGCCAACTAGGTTTACTAGTAGTAGGACGTCTTTTGAGTCCGCACGAGTAGGTACTACAACCCTGCCTATTTCTGCCGTGAAGCAGTAATGCGTTTCGGTTTGACGGGTGGGGCAGCCGTTGTACTGTAAAAACTGAGACCTTAGAACTCATATCTAAAGACAGGTGGCCGCATTTACGTTTTAAATGTCTATAGGCTCTTATAAAAAATACTACTAATACTAATAAATCACTCACGTTACTGTTTCCAAATATACGTCATACGCGAATTCTTCACTGACAGATTTCAATTCAGCAGACCGTTTGGTCCTGGTGAATTCATCCAACTTAATCAGTTTACCAACGCGCTCCAAGTTAACTTTTTTTCTGAGAGGAAACGGCTTGAGTAATTTGGACTTCTCGATATTGGCTCTGACTTCTTCCAACACTTGATTGGATAGTGGATCCGTTTGCCATTCAGGAAGCTTTGTCTCCTTCACTTTAGCGAGCAAGCTATCCAATATATTGGCTTCTTCTTTCGAAACGCTATTGGTATCAGCATTACCGAGTCCTGAGCTTAAAGGGATTATGTTACTTGGTATTTGAGCTATGTACGCGTAAGGATAATTTCTATAATAATTCAAATAAGCCCAAGGGTTTCCATACATGGGACTGTACAGAGCAGTGTTATTATATTGCTGTATGTAAGGGAATGGATAAGGCACTGGAGCTTGGGGATTCTGATCACTATGTTTTTTGAGTACTTTTTCTATTAACGAATGATCCATTTTATTGCAAGATGTTTGGGGATTTTCAGCGTTCGGCTTATGAACGTATGAGGAGCTTCGTTGGAAAGCCGACATCGGATAGTAATAAGGAAGTTTTCCGAAGTCACTGCTACTTAGGATTCCGCCGAAGTAGCCAGGGCTCCTGTTTGGCTTGTGAGTGGCTGGCTTGAAAAACGTTTCTTGTTTCTCCAAATCCACCGGTCCTCCTTTCTGAGGGCTAATGTGTAAAGGTTCGTACCAATACGAGCTTTGTTTTTCATTCACAAACTTTTCGTCGTCATTGGCTGTGCTTAATGTTTCATCTAGAACACTGTCGGAGGTGGCTTTGTCCATTTCTTTATAAATATCTTGAGCTATTTTATATATTTCCACGATCGCATCCAAATCACTTTTCTTCACTGTATGAAGCATATCAGCTATGGACTTAATTTCAGTTTCAGTCAAGTACCTATCATTATTGAAATTCATTGCTTCTCTACCTTCTTGCTCATTAGCTTCTTTATGTGGTATACCTGGTAAACTACTGTCTATTTTTGTGTGTATCGTAACAGGACTAGTTTCTAAATCAATGTGCTTTTCTTCTGATTGCAGGTTAGAAATGTTTATCTGCCTGATTGGTAAATATTCTGTTTCAATTTTATTTAATCTTCTAAGTTTGCATGAGTAATTCCCGCAGAAGGTTGTCGATTGCCATGTTGAGTTTACCGCGTGAAGTTTACCAGTATCAGGATCTCTGCAGTATAGAGCTGAAAACAAAAAAATGGATTAAATTTTGGTTCGCGATGGTGGCAATAGAATGTCACATTTATCTCGTGTTGATTCAGTTCGTTCTTTTTTTTTTTATGATGTCGTTTTGAAAAATATGAAATTCCAAAGTACTCCTGATTATAAAAACAATAATATTGAAATTTAACAAAGAATATTAGATCTTAATTAAGGAAGCAGTACCTAATCTATAAAAGAAACTAATTATAATGAAATAATTCTAATTAACCACATTAAAGTTTAGGAATATGATGAGGTTTGTACACAGTAATTTAATGTTAGAATATTGGCAAGAAATGCACAAAACTAGAAAGAAGTTACCAAATATCGGCAACAAAGACACAGATTCCGAATTGGAATCAGGTTCTAGAGTAAGGCGGATATGAAAAATGTCACAAGCTCAACTCCCGAATGCTCACCACCAAATAGAAACGTATTCATCAAACAACAACAAACAATAGTGAGGCAATTATCGCATTGTTTTAAAAAATTCAGAGCATTGTTTAATTATCGAATTGTTTGGTTCAAACAATAATTTATTGGCTTTTGTCTTTGGTTTCGGGTGTTTTTGTTTGCTAATGAAGTTTTATGGAGCTATTATTATTATATTCATTAGCTTGTTAGAATTCCATGCTTGATTGTCAGTTTGACAATTGCTGATAATTTAGTACTGCCCTAAAAATATCGCTGAGAATTATCATAAATAGAGTTTTTACACTTGTTATTGATGTTGAAATTCAATAGACATCTAATTTCAATAGACATTCAATAGACACTAGCACCTCAATTTCATTAACTGGTTCATTTTTTTAAAAATATATATATTACGGTTCTTTTGCTCTTAGGCCAGAGAAGAGTGGCCTTTCCAAACTCATTATTCCAGAATAGAGAGGCAAGGATCGATCCCTATGGAAGACCATATGCGCCACGGCAGGCGGAACCCAGGCAACTGACCTAGCCTACAGATCAGATCAGTCGGCGCAGGTAGAAAAACATTTGGTGTCTTTCCCCACATACCTCTTCCTATCGCCGACCACGGTAAAGTGCCAAAAGATTTGGCTCTGTCAAATGAAATCGCCAAAGTCATACCACCACGAAACACTACTCTTCTTAGAGGACTCGAATGAGAAGGATCTTGTCTACGGCTAAGCAACCCTCTCTGAAGCCGTACTATTCCGCTTATTAGGGATAAAATATTACTTTTTTATTTTATCGATTAATTCGTCAAGTTGTTACGGAGTATTTGGGGAAGCTATACATTAGTTAAACATTAGAAATGACAGATATTTATCGTGATTTGTATTGCTAGTGCTAAGGACAGTGGCTGTTCTATGGAACTAATGCTGTCCTTGCGAGGAAGGGACATTTGCATTGCGAAATTCCTAGTTAAGTATTATGCACACCAAACTCACATGACATGGGTAGACAGAAATTTCCTATGGTTCTACACCACTATTGTAAATGTGCCTTGAAGTATACACAATTGTGTAAAGAATAATTGTGGTTAGTTACTGCTCATAGATATAACAAAGTTATGGCCACTGTCTACCTAGAGATAAAAAGTGGATGTCACTGTAGGCAGTGGCTTGGCCCTGCTCCTGGAATTGCTGAAGTCCATTGGCAACGGTAACAACTTAACATCAGGTGGGCTGTATGCTCGTCTGCCTACAAGGGCAAAAAAAAAAACATTGTAAGGCGGCTAGCTTCTTCGAATTACTAGGCGTGAATGTTTCATGTCAAAAATAAGTGGAATGACGGTAATTATAGTCGTATGGACAACAGTAGATCCTGCCAAGCTGCCAACAGCAAAATCAGAGCTGAGGAACAGGATACATTTTCCATTCAGGATTATCATACGTCATTTCTGCACTGACACTCTTGCATTCACCTTCCAAGCAGTCCACCCAAGTCTTTTTAGGACTCTCCTTCATTTATTGCTACTGTGTATCCAGTAGTGACTATTGCTAGAGGTGACCAGGTTGTATAGCGTATTACTATAAAGAGCAGAAGCTTAATATCTGCCTTCATCCTGAAGTAACGGTTACTCCAATGCGGTTGAGACTTAGATCTTACCAAACCGTGTCAACATTTTTTATTGCTCTTGTAGGCAGACGAACATACGGCCCACTTGACGGTGAGTGGTGACCGTCGCTCATGGACTTCAGCAATGCCAGGGGCAGAGCCAAGCCGCTGCCTATCAATACGCATTGGTAACTTATCTGAGGCTCGTGTTTTCGCATTATTGATGTTATGAAAGAATTAACATACCTTTACCCGTGATAAAGCCACCCTCAACACATATTAAACACAAAATTAATTTAAATAAAACATATCTGTAATACTCCATGCTGCGCGGTATCGTGTCGGCTTGTCCGTGTTGCGAATGAGGAATGTATGGACATATTCATACGTCGCTTATTGTTATGATTTTGAAGACTTGCATTTTCGTTAGGTGGATGTCAAATTTTTTTTATTTATTTTTTTATTTATTTTTTTTTTGGCATATGTGTCTCCGCAAACTTGCGTCCCACATTTTGTTAAGTAGTTACCGGAGCCCATAGACATCAACAACCTAAATAACGCCATCCAACTTGAGACATGGGTTCTAAGTCTCCGAAACGCATTACCGCGTTACGACAGAAATAGGCAGGGCGGGGGTATCTACCTTTGTGGGCTCATAACACGTCCTACTATCAGTAAATACATATTGTTACTATGCACCTAAAGCTTTAATCTTTAAGATGTTAGCTTTAAGCGTGTCGAAGAAACTTTCATAACTGCAATTTCTTCTCTGCCCAAAACACACAAAATATCTGATCTAAAAAAATCATTCCGATTGGTTAGAGTTAATTTAAATATCCGACTCTCTCAAGCCCACTCCAAAAGTTCAGAGAGCTTTAAAGAATCGAAGTGCCGCAAACGTGCAGAAAAAGTTTAGTCAAAAATTTGTACCATGAATATTTGCTTCAAAAATTTCACGTCATCGCTGATATTTCGCTCTAAAGATACGCTTTTACAAGTGCCAAAGCTTCCGAAATTTTACGAGCTTGTACTAAACTTTTGAATTCTGTTAAAGTAAAATTTTATTTTTCATTTGCTCGAGTACATTTTTATTGGCAACTGAGAAGGATGGACTTGCAGTTCGCCTGATGGAGAGTGATCACTGAGGTTTATGGACTTCAGCAACGCTAGGACCAAAAAATGCTACTTCTCATCTTGGTACATAACAAGGATTCATGTTTGTGACACCATGTTTTTTTATTGCTTATTTGGGTGGATGAACTCAAGGCCCACCTGATGTTAAGTGGAGCCCATAGACATCTACAGCGTAAATGCCACCACCCGCCTTGAGACATGAGTTCTAAAGTCTCACTTTTAACTACGGCTGCTCCGCCCTTCAAACTGAAACGCATTATTGCTTCACGGCAGAAATAGGCAGGGTGGTGGTACCTACCCGTGCGGATGCAAACGCAAGACGTCCTACCACCAATAAAAAATATGTAATAATATATCTATGTATCGAAATGATTCTGTCAAGATGTTTGAGCTTGAAATTTTACAGACGTATTAAAGACAACAATAAGTAATCCAATAATTTTTGCAAGGATAACTTACGATTTTTTTTTTTTTAATTCCGTATTCTATTAAAGCTTCAGGTGTATATATACGTTAGTATGTAACGGAATAGTAGTACGTTAGTATGTAACGGAAGCTTTGAACATGATTTTGACCCCCCTCAAAAGGTCGGATTAACTCGAAATTTGGTATACTTATTAAGGACCGATGACAAATCAATATAAAAAAATATAAAAATAAAATTCAACTAAAAATGAAAAATAAATAAAAGTTTAAAAAAAACTAAAAAAATACGCTTTTATAGAAAATCCAACTAAAAAATAGAAAATATATATTTTAATAAATCTGTAAGAAAAAATGATTTTATTGTAAAAAAAGCGTGGGGTGCTTTTCAGGATATTATCATATTTTCTATTTTTTAGTTGGATTTTTTATAAAAGCGTTTTTTTTTAAAGTTTTTTTAAACTATTATTTATTTTTAAATTACATATCATTTATTATTACTAACGTGAAATTAAAGGTGCCCATAGAGTACGTTTTTGCTTGAACAAAATGTTTACTTAAGACTAGTTAGAGATACGAAAAAATGGTGCGTGTGGGACTTGGTGTACGTGAAATAAGTGAAACTTATTTTGCGGTTTGTAGTATCGCGGTTTCTTCATTTTTCATCCTTAAATCAAATTTCTCTTGTAATAGAGAATGTTGTGTATAAGAGAAACGACCTAGCTCGCTTTGACCTTACCCTCTCTACACGGTCGAGTGGTACGCGAGACGCTCTATCTATTTTCTCACTCTTGCTCGTCCTAAATCGTATCTTTTCTCTCTAGCCGTAACGAATCTGTCGCGAGTTAAATTTTACTCTCAACGCGTCTTAGAAATTTTCACTTTAAAATTGTGAAAGTTAATTTTTACGTCCGATATAGTTTCGGTAACTTCAATAAGGCATAAGATAAGTATGAATATCCTTTCAATAACTCAATTATTTAGTGTACCACGGGGCTCGCCCCCAGCGCCGGTAAGCTTTACAAAGCTCCAATTATCGATAACCTCTCCGCAGCACGGCCAGCTGTACATTGCGGGGATCTTTTTGAATTTGTCCTCCGATGCCAAACTTCTAACAATAATAATAAGTGCGGACAAAGAGACTGAACGCTGGATCCCAGAACTTTGGGCCTTTACACGCGAAACTTGTTCAATAACGATTTTGAACTAAGTATTTTCCGAGGAAAGAATAAACGTGAAAAAGATTACCGATTTATTTTATTTAAGGAGAAGAGGTTTTGGTGTTTTTGATTTAAAATATATGCATAATACATATAAAAATTGGGCTCTTTGATATGTATAATTTATTGTATGTATCTATGTGTTTAATATGTATTCGTATCTGATGATGTACCGGTGCTCGAATCCCGCAGGCGGGTACCAATTTTTGTAATGAAATACGTACTTAACAAATGTTCACGATTGACTTCCACGGTGAAGGAATAACATCGTGTAATAAAAATCAAACCCGCAAAATTATGATTTGCGTAATTACTGGTGGTAGGACCTCTTGTGAGTCTGCACGCGTAGGTACCAACACCCTGCCTATTTATGCCGTGAAGCAGTAATGCGTTTCGATTTGGAGGGGCAGCCATTGTAACTATACTGAGACCTTAGAACTTATATCTCGAGGTGGGTAACGCATTTACGTTGTAGAGGTCTATGGGCTCCGGCGACCGCTTAATACCTGGTGAGCCGTGAACTGGTCCACCCACCGAAGCAATAAAAAAATGTAAGTCTTTAATAACTCTTTTGTTATTAAAGACTTATTGCGTCCTCTTATCGGTATACAAAATATAATTGAAAACAGCAATTTATCTCGAAGATCGCACTTCCCATTCAGGTATATGGCAATATGCTAAAAACAATTAACGAATTCATGATATCGTAATAATATTAATAAATAAAACAACGTTATTGGGTTTGACAAGCGCTGTCCGTATTAGCGAACGTGTCATAATGCTGTCACAGCTATCGCGTTCAATCGGATACTTATTATTTCTTTTGTTTTCTAATCTGATTGTGTCGATTGACGATAATGATCATCGACCTATATTGCCGTTTTTGATACTTTACGAATGATTATTTGATTGATGATCATTTCCGCGGTCGTAGTGAGTTCTTGCTCGAACGTGCCCAAAACACGTCATTTCGGATCCTCCCGATCCATTAACAGTGCTTTTAGGTACCTCAAGCATCGGTCACCGTCCTCGTCGAACCCATCGCTTGCGACGAAGGGCTCGACAAGTAAATTAACTCACAGACATAGCCCACTGAGCTTCTCAGTGGGTCGCGTTTCCTATCCGGAGGTAGATTCTGCGAGGCACGGCTCTTGCTGGGGTTCGTGTTAGCAACATCGTCAGGTTTGAGCCCCGTGAGCTCACCTACTAAGGTTACGCTGAAATAGCCTCTCAAGGCTATCAGCATAGGTAGGAACAAAACAAGTATTTCTTATACGTATGCCGCAGAATGGGCCGATATATCCATCATTTCTTGACACAGTCGGCGTATGGTGGGTAGTCGTGCAAAGAGCTTGCGCATCACGAAACCATCACAGTACCGAGACGTCTTAACTCTTCCTAAGTCAGGCAACGAAAGTGCTTCGATTCATAGATAATACACATAAATTAGTTATAGATAAGCAACTCAAGAACTCAACAAAAATGTTTACGGGCGTCGGGCACTAGATGGCTTCGCTTCGATTAGTTTCTCATTGCTCCGGTAGATGGCAGTAATTTTGCAAATTTTCAGTAACCACAAATGGATAAAATTAAATCAAAATGTCTATAACTAATATCCACTAGATGGCGCGCTTTCGCTTCGTTTGTCGTGTCCAGATGTGACCTATATTTTTTTCCCTACCTGTGCTGATAGCCTTGAGAGGCTGTTTCAGCTTCGCCCTAACATGTAGGTGAGTTCGCGGGGCTCAAACCGGGAATGTTGCTAACACTGACCCTAGCAAGAGCAGTGCTTCGCAGAATCTACCACCGGATCGGAAACGCGACCCACTGAGAAGATCCGTCGAGAAACTCAGTGGGCTATGTCTATGGGTTAATTCACTCGACGAGCCCTTCGTCGCAAGCGACGAGTTTGACGAGGACGGTGACCAGACGACCTGGATATTACGTAGGTCACTCATGCTGAAAGTATTTCGGGAACCAATTTAAAAACATTACTTAAATCAATTTATTAGCATAAAAACTCTACATAATTAATAACATAGAAGAAAACATTATGTTTATTGTAAACAATTTCATAACCCAAAGAAAGTACAACGAAAGTCCTAAACACATCAAAACTTAAAGCTCCGGGTGAAATCCATTCAAAAACTTATTAAGCGCATAAGACCTTTCTCCCGGTACGCATCGCAACAATCCATAAAGGGCCCGGTACAAATTATGCCTTTACAAGAACAGCGTGGGGTAACGCGTGATTTAAAGGTGATGCGCATTTCAAAGCTATTAAATTTGATCTGAATTACTCGTGGTAGGACCTCTTGTGAATCCGCACGAGTAGGTACTATCACCCTGCCTATTTCTGCCGTGAAGCAGTAATGCGCTTCGGTTTGAAGGGTGGGGCAGCCGTTGAAACTATACCTGAGACCTTAGAACTTATATCTCAAGGTGGGTGGCGCATTTACGTTGTAGATGTCTATGGGCTCTAGTAACCACTTAACACCAGGTGGGCTGTGAGCTCGTCTGCCCATCTAAGCAATAAAATTTAACACAT